TGAACTAAAAAAATACACATCTTTAAGACTTGTATTAACCCAGAGCTTTTCTTTTTGCACAGAAACAAACTTTTGTTTTTTACCTGTTCAAATTCACTCCTGCACATTCAAGGTTTAACTTGATGGTCTACATTAGTAAAGTGGACCAGGAGTCTCTGTTGAATCTTAAATATTCATACACAGATTCTTGTTTTTTCCCCCTCTTCTGCTTGAAAAAGAACATTTTTATGCACTTTAACGTTTGCTATATTTATGAGCAGGGCAGGAGACGTCCCCACTGCACCACAGAGTGACTCATCCCAGGATCTCGCTCCAGGGAAAAGACAAAGCTCAAACCACACTCACACACACACGTGAACAAACACACAAGGGAGAAAATAAAACATTATGGTTGAAGAGGTAAGGTCAGTGTTCTTCAAGGCAGCAGAGGTGGAAACTCCAAACAAGAACTGACTTCAGAGGTTTAAAATAAAACTTTGTTTCTGCTGGTAGAATTGCTGCCAGTGCACTGCTGTCTAAACTGTGTTCAAACTATGGGCTGCATTATGTAAGTTAAAAAAAAATGGCTGAAAGCCAACAACTCCTACAGTGATACTTAGTATTAACTGGCACTAAAAAATGAATGTTATATGCAGTATTTTGTTATAATTACGTATAAAATGAATATGTTATGTGCAGTATTTTGTTATAATTACGTATAAATGTTGTCAATCAAATTAATGTACACTTTACATTAAAGAGTTAATGCAAACAAAACCTGTGAGTGTTTTTATTTCCTATTTCAATAAGAATCGATAAAGAATCTAATCTATGTTTTCATTCGACATGTTTATCAATTCACGTCCCTGACTGGAGATATTAATAATTAATATTAATCAATTGTCTATTGGGCAAGACAAATCAAAAGACTCTCATTGCTAAAGGTTGTAACAGCCAACACCTGTGACAGTGCAGACCGGGGCGGGGGGGGTCGGCTCGTGGGCAAATCTAAGGTTCAAAGTTTGAACTGGTGGACGGGTTCAGTGTTATTTGATGTGCAATGCTGGGCGAAATATTTTAAATAAATATAAACATTATAATAATATTATAAAATATTTTAAATAGGACAGGGAAAAGAATCGGTACTTTTGAAAATAATTTAGCACATTTTATATCTGCCACCATCTAGTGACATCAATAAAATTTACAGTTGAGTCGTTGAACTGCATGAAACAGCAGGATTGACATCAGTCTTTAGCGTACTTTGTCATTGGATTTGGCGGGCCTGATTAAAAAGCCCAGCATTACACATCTGGCCCACGAGCCGTAGTTTGCCCCGCCCTGATCTACACAAACGAGCAAGTAAAACAACTCTGACCTTACTGTGGACGAGTTTTTCTTCTGTCCTGCATGCGGTCCAGATGTGTAGTCCTGTTGAAAATGTCCGGCACACGACGTCGAGGAGAATCAGCCAATGGTGGACACAGACCGACGAGAGGTTCGTGGCATTTCCTGTGTGCGATAAACAGAAAAACATCTGTTAGTAAATCTGTGTTTTAAAAAGTTTAACAATAGTTTTAGAAACAAAAAGCTGCTAATATTAGTAACAGTACTTTTTATTCTACATCTGTTGATCTCCAGAGCATTTTTTTTAATCAGAGAAAATTAGTCACAGAAGCACTTGCAGACCAGACCCAGCACATGCCACAGTGAGCAGTCATCAGTGGATACTGCTGTATATATTACTAATGTGTAGGTCAGTGCATTAACTGAGAGTTCAGTTGAGCTTTATATAAAACACCGTGGGTGTAGTGGGTCAAAGGTCAAAGGCTGCACTCTGACTATGTTATAAATACCGTATGGAAACAATCTGTGCAACCGGCTTTACATTATAGACCAAAGGTTTGGCAATAGAAAAATGAGACTAGGACTGGAATTCTCTCTCCCTCACCTTCATTTATACACTCTGTGGGAAAGAGGTTTCAATTCACCAGAGCACCTCAGGCTTAAACTACCATCTCAAAACCCATCAGCCCAGCCTCACTGAGTGCACAGAATAAAAACAAGTCGACGACTAACCAGCTGACTGACACAAGCGTTAAAAGGATTTGAACAGACTGTAGGACAAACGGCTTCTACGCAGGTTTCAGCATATTCTACGTGTCTATATTTTTCTTGACATTTTTCCATATTAATTATTCAATTTTTTGGAATTGTCACAAATAAAATCAGGTGTGAAACACATGCCTCTGCCTTCTGTTGTTTGTCTTTCTCTTTAAGCCATGTACAGAATTTTAGGCATGTTCCAATTTATCATGATTATTCGCAATAATTGCATTAAATCACAATTAATCGCAATTAAATATAACAAAGCCATATTATGGAGGTAGATCAAAATCTAAAGCAAAACCTAAATCATTTTTATAGGTCTTTTTTTTTCCTGTTCAATTCAGACTATTCAGATTACTGTCTTGAAACTTTTGTGACTCCTGTACTCATACTTTGCAGATGTGCGTTAATTCCACAGCAGGTGTGTGGATGTAATGTTATTAAAATGGTGCCAAAATGGATGACAAGCAGCAATTTCTCTGTCCTGTTTCCATCTCGGCGTTAATCCTTAATCTTTTCCGCGGAACAATCCGCACTCACACGCGGTGAATCACCCTCCGTCCTCTCCTATTGTCTCCCAGTTTAACACATAATGAGCGCACAGCTGTATACTCACACAGGCGACATCTAATGCAGTCAGCTCCGATAATGTGCACTGTGGCGTGTTACATTTCCATACTGCTGCTTAGTACATCGCCACTGCAAGAACCATTATGGTAATACAGCACCTGCGGGAAGAGAGATGGAAAGAGGGAAGGAGATGCCAGAGAGAGGGAGGGAGAGAGGGGGGGAGGGAAGAAGAAGAAGGGTAAATGAGTACTTATGAAGAAAATGATGTGTAACCACAAGGTTATGGGATTTTTTTTAATCTGGTTTTTAGGCTGATGCTGTGAGTTTCCTCACAGGCAGACAGTAAAAGTCATAATTTTAGTCTGTCTATACCAGGGGTCTCAAACTCCTGGCACGGGGGCCACTTCCCTACCACCCTCATGTGGCTCAAGACTAGAAGCCGATAATAACGTAATTTGTTCACTAATGTTATTGTATATTATTTTTTAATTCCCTCGGTCTAGACTATTTAGCAGCCTCTTGTTGCTTCTCAAAGTGTGGGGTGGGCCCCACTGGTGGACAACAGAGGCATGACGGGTGGAGCGTGACTAATGGAAGGACATTTTCAACGTTAAAGTGATTAAAACTTTGTGGCATTTGATGTTATTGGTTGAGGTTTGTTATAAAATATGACGTTACTTGGTGTTAGTTTAATACATTTGAAACATAACTTGTCAGGATTCTTGTTGGAGGCGACGGGGGGAGGGGGGGCAGGTTGGGGCTTGGAAAACCCCACTGGTTGGGAATAACCGCTGACGCAATCACTCTCGTCTACTTCAGCTGTGAGAAGTTATTACTGGATGTTTCATACGTTAACCGCCATCTCACGACACCACGAACGCAACTTTATGACTGCTGTTGCGAATTAACACATCAGTGACTCTCCTGTGGTTCCCCCCGCTCTCTGTCGCTCTTTCACCATTATCACAGTTTCACCCCCCTCTCAGGTTTTCATCAATAACCCTCAGTGACAGCTTATGTAACACGACAAGTTCCAATCTGAACTCAACTCTGCCTGATCTGCAGCCTTTTCTCTCCCTTAAATAACTCACTTCTGCTGTTACACTTGAGCCAGAGTGAGAGACAGTGTCGGGAGAGGGTGAGGGCGGCGGGAGGAGGAGAGGGAGGGGTGGCAGACAGAGACATGACATGAGAGGAGGAAAAAAACGCAGGTTTAATTATTCAGATACACTGCAGCGAAGAAAAAGACAGCGAGGGATTGACCCAGATGGGGTGGGATTCCTGGTGCAGTATTTCACCGTGGGGGCCTAAGCTGTGTCACCCAGGGGCCAGACACGTACAGGGACTCAACTAGAAGAGCGACGAACGTAGAAATGAAAGACTAAATGGTGAAAGACTCACCAAAAGAGAAGGTTTTGTGAAAACTTTTTTTCACCCTGATTCCTTAAAACACATGTATTGTTAAATGTGTTCGACTCCCTGGAGTTTTAAACACGCTGTCGACACGACTGCTGCAGGGACTGAACCCCAACTTTTTTTCTGTAACGCTCTCAACTCGACTCTTCCTGTTCGTACTGTGAGGGCGTGTCTGTGTGTTTGTGAAGTAGAGAGGTGATCGTGAAACCAAACACTGCAGAACCAACCTGGAGATGCTGCATCCCAGAGTTTGCCTGCCGCTGCAGAGACGAATTCCCAGAGAGCGCCGGGCTTTGTTGTCCAACGGCTGGAGTTCCCAGGAGACCGGCTCCCTTTCATCTCCCTGTATCCTCAGGGTGTCCAACAACACAGTCCCAGTGGAGGGAGAGGAGCAGGAAACACGGAAGATGTTTTGGCCAACAGTGGAGACGGAGGGTCACCGACGTCCTGCACGGAGGTCAACACAATCTGTTTATCCTACTGTTGTGTTGGAGAACTTACTGTTAACATAACCCTTTCCACTGACTCATTACCAGGGGTTTGAAGAAAGACGTGTGGAGACGAGGACGCCGTAGCTGCCTGGACGAGAACATTAGGAGTTCTTAGTTTGTCAGAGGAGTGTGAAGAACGTCAGAATAACGTGCAGGAGGAGACCAGATGATTAGCCATGATGTCTTCTGCTGATGGAAGCAGCTGAGGGAGGACAGAGATGAGAGACAGAGGTTTACAGACATGAGTTGTGGCAGGTGTTGTACAACGAGGGGAACAAAGATAGAACAGAGATTTGAACCCCAGACTTCAAAAACAAAAATCTTTCCCTTTTTTATTTTAATTCTGTGTAAACTTGGCCTCATCCACGGCAGAGTTTTTCTTCCTCTCCCTCCTTCCTCTCTTAATTGCTCCCCACCGAATCTCTTGTACTTTCTTTTCATTCCCCAGTGTTCCTTCTGCCCCCCTGCCCCCTCCCCCCCTCCCTGTCTGTCTCCTTTCTTTCATTTTAATGTCGTCTTCTTGAGACTAGCCGTCGTCTTTCTTCTCCTCCCCTCTGTTCCAACTCTCTTGGCTCTGGCTCTCATCTCCTTCTTCCTCTTCTCCTTGGCTCCATCCATGATGAGAAATTTGCACTTTTTTTGGAGGGGGGCCGTGAATCATCACAAACGCGGTGGATAAACTTCCAATAAAATCAATGTTTAATTCAGATGACTGCAGGCCATTGACAGAGAAACTGGAAGCCTTTCATCTATATAAGGACCCAGAAAAGAAGAGGGTGGTGGGCTCGGTGGGGAAGGAAGGGATGGAGGGAGGGTGGAGGGTGAGGACAGATAGGATTAAGGAAAATCCCATCAGTTATAGTGTATCTTTAGCAAAACGATGGAGCCGTCTGTCCTCTCGTGCTGCCTCTCAATAACCTGTAAATGATTCCCTTCTGGCACCTGTGCTCGTCACCCGCCCTCCTCCCTCCCTCCTCCCCCCTCCCTCGCCTCTGTCTTTCAGTATCTGTCCATTTCAGTCCTCCACGCTCCTGTCTGTCACGTTCTCATCTTTCACACATGTTCTCGTTGATTTCCTCCTTTAATTTAATCATTTTTCGTACGGCGTTAATTTCCCTGAACTTGTAATTTTTGTCACAGACGACAGAGTCGACGACCTTTCCTAAGATGAAAAACAAAACTGAAGATAAACAGGAAGTTATGTGGGGGCTCGGTGGGAAGATGAAAAATTTCGCATTGCATTAAAAAGTAAACTAATAAATCAAAGAAGTCCAGTTGGTGATAATTATGTCACGTGAACTGAAGAAACACATCAATGCGTAAGCCAATCAGGGCCAAAAAAAAAGGGCGGGACATCTGAATGGAGAGCCAATCACAGTAAATGTATGAACCTGGTAGTAGAACCAACAGGGGGAAATACTCTGGTCATACATTTGACAGTATGTTTTGTCTTTTTGGGGTTTTTTTTCTTCTTTTTCTAGAAATTGCATCACTGCTCACAGGTGCACACACATGTGCATGTGTCACATCACATGGATGTGAGCATTCTTCTTTTTCTAAAAATTGCATCACTGCTCACAGGTGCACGCACATGTGTCTGTGTGTGTCACATCACATGGATGTGAGCATTCACGCTGCTGGCCCTGTGCTCAAATGTCAGACCTTTAACCTTTTAAGTCTGACCTGAGGCGTCATCAGTCACTGACTGACACGTGCAGAGGACGGACTGGGTCGAAAACAAGAGCGAGAAAAAAAAAATCAAATAAAAGACAGAGACCGGGCCTGGCCGTAGATGTCTACTGTAGAACAGATTGAAGTGTCACGTAGAGAGACGGGAGACTCTGTTCCTGTACAGGTGGCGAACAGAAGGTGAGGGCTGAGGGGAGGACGGATGGAGGGAAGGAGGCAAGAAATGAGAGAGGGGAAAGGAGGTGAGGTAGGGAGGCTCTTGGTCTCATTACATAATCAATGAGGTAAAACACACCACCATTCCTGCAGCGCGGTCCAAATCACTTTATCAAACTATGGATTTTCATCTCTGAGAGCAGAGAGAATTGATGGTTGTTGCTTTAATCCAGTAACTACAACTAAAAAAACATACATCTTATCATCCACCTATTGTATATCGCTGCTACTTTGATTTCATAATGATGTTCTCAAGACTGCTCAGCCCCCCCACCCAACCCCCACTCCCACTCCATGTAAATAGCCATTATTGTATAAGATGTGTCATAAACATGGTCACACAGTAAAAGAGTGTTTTCTGCTCTTACCTTACAGCAGTTAGTCAGTAGGTCCAGCCCCTGGTGGTAACTTTCAGTATGGCGTTTTCATGTTTTCCCCCTGTGCAAATGTGGAAATTTTACATGTCAAATTCATGATTAAACCAAACATATAACACACTATTTCCTGTTAGCTCATGTCATGCTGTGTATGTTATTTTTTGTTTACTGCTAAATGTGTTAGCTGTACTAATGGGAAAGGAATAACAGGTGACCACACTCTAAAGACTGAAAGAAGCTGGACTGGGTGATAGGACCAGGACGTGGGTGGTGGGGGAGTGGCAGAAGGCAGAAGCCTGGAGTGGTGGGTACATCACTGCAGCCCCTTGTCACTTCCTATTAGCAGCCCGTACTTACTAACACAGTGGTTGTGATTGTAATTAATTCATTCGGTTGGTTTTGAATGTGTAAGTCCAAGGGTGTGTGTGTGTGATTGTATATGGTGTGGGGGGTGGGTGAGGAGGGGGTGGATGTGCAGTGAGCGCTGTGTCGTGAAGAATGAGAGCTGACAGGATCTGTGGCGGCAACACTGTGGGTTCAACTTACACTCTGTGACATGAGTTCTCTTTACTGGGTTTTGGATTCCTGACCGTGGAGAGACGTTGCAACGTTCGGCAGCAGTTCGGGTCGGTTCGGGTTTGGATTGATGTGGACCATCATCACCTCAAGGATGGTTCAAAAGAAGTTCATAAATCTGGAAGAGAACAAACTACTTCAGAAACCTGGTCTTTTACTCAAGCACAAGGGAGTCAATCCTGACAAACAACGCCACCTTATGGTGGAACAACAAAGCTCTCTGGTGTGGTTTCACACAGACACAGATTTTTAAATAAATCAATTGGATTCATTTCCTTTGTTAATCTTCCCACAAAGTCTTAATTAAAATAAAATCTATATGAAAGTTCAGTTTTTAATCACTGCGATCTGCAGTAATGTCATGACCGTAACACTCTGCCTCTGAGTCCAGAACAGGCAGAAACATTATGATATCACTGAGAAGTGCTGCTCTGTTACACAACAACACCTCGGTGTCAGGTCCTGGTCTGTCCAGAACTTTGTGGGTGGTGCTTCACAAGTGAAGCCCACTAATCTAAGAGTGGGCTGTGACCCAGGTCTGACTGAGTGGGAACCACCCTGACCATCTGTGGGTCTCCACAGCCTCCTGGCACCTCGCGCTGCACTTGAGTAAAATAATATCACATTATTCTTCATTAGGAGTGAACCTTTAAGAAATAGAGGGACAGGAAGGAAGAAAGCGGAGCAACACGAGCAGCGAGGATGTGGCAGAGAAGAGCGCAGGGCTGTGATGCGGTCACTTTTATCAGAAGGTCATTTTCCTAAATACACGACCTGCTCGACAACATAGGCGGCAGAAACTGGCTCTCAACAAAATTTTGCTCGACAACATAGGCAGCAGAAACTGGCTCTCAACAAAATTTTTGGACATTGTTCAACCTCTGGCAGGGAGAAAAGTCGAGTCGACCTTCTGCGTTGACTGGGCAGGAGGGCAGGAGGACACCCCGCTCCCCGGCCCAGGCCTGCGGAGAGGCCATCTGGACAGGGGAAACACACGCAGAGTACCTGGCCAGACCTGGAGCTCGACACATACCCACAGTCGCGGTCACATGTACTTGGCGGTACAGCACATGTCGAACGGGTGGCTGCAGACACGCGGCCGCCATCACGCGCTTTCGCACTCCAGCGCTGATACAGTACGTGTGGAGTATTATTTACATTAGTCGACCGCGGTGCATACATGACACGTGAAATGATCTTTGTACATTATGCGTATAATCAAGTCTACATCAACAGACTATATTCAGCCTGAAACTCCCACTCAAACCCACACATTCCTTTCACACACAGCACTCCTCAGTCTGCGGCGATGTTAGCGTTATAAACCCCTCTGATTCTGCTCGTCGATGAGTGTTTCTCATTTGGTTAAAACAGTTTCTGCCTGTGCTGCAGTGGAGAGTGCTACATTTGGTTAAAAGCCATTATTATGGTAATGCGAGGGTGCTTGAGATAATGGCAAGATGAGAGCAGCTCGACTGCCTCTGACATAACAACCCTACTCTATCTATCTCTTCAGCTCCTTCCCCGTTCGCTCTCTCGCAGTTTCCCTCCCTGCTCACCTCACCGGCAGATCACAATGCTTTTGTTTTTTTTTTTCCTTCCATAAGATACAAGCAGACGGCATAGCTTTTTTGTGATTAAAATCAAACATTATTGTAAAAAAAAAAGGAGCATTTTTGAGCCTTAGCTGTGGCCGCGTTTCAAGAGATCGCTCTTCATCTCCTGCTGTAAATCAGAGGTGTGATTGGAAATTATATGGCATCCAGCTCTCAATCTGTTCCTGTAAAGCCTGGGTGCTACCTGTGACACGAGCTAACACAGTAGCTTTGTCGTCCTGGGAGACGTGGCGTGCAGAGGATTCTCTACTGACGGCAGAAAAACAGAGGGTTAGGAAAAGAAGTGGCAGCGAATGCTAGAAGTCACAGGGAAGATTTTGTTCTTTCAGGTCACTGGTGCTGGAGAATGAGGGGGAAAACAACAAGAAGAGATGGGGGAAGAAAGTTAAAGAACAAATGAGCCAGAGGAGAGTGGAGAGGAAGAGGATGAGAGATTGAGAGCACAGTAATTCCATGCACATCAAATTTCACCTAATATGATTTTGTGTTCTGTGTCTATTCAAGTCAGCCCTGATTGGGTTGTGTGCTATAATCGCATCAGCGCAGGGATTTGCTGCGGCTTTTTTTCACTGATGCTGTTGTGTCGTTGCTTTTTTCCCTTTTATTGGAGTTGGCATCGGCCTTCATGACACAAATACCCACTGACAAATTAAAAATGATTGATTCAGAGTCAAAGATGGAAACGGCACTGCGGGCTTGGAGCCAACCAGCGTTCTCCACTTCTGTCCACACACTTGTGCCTGTTTGAAGTGCACGTGTGTGCATGCCCGCACACGCACGCTGCACTGTCACGTCGAGTGCAATCCTCCGTTCATACGAGCATAGGATTGCTGTTGCCGGAGCGAGCGAGTGAGTACAGCGGGGCCTGTACCGAGGAGGAAGGGTGGGCTCTTGACATTGAACGCCTGACACTTTTAAAGAATGTGAGAAGATGGCAGATATCCGACGTGTGAACCTCGGAGCCATTGTCATGCATGTTACGCTCGGAGCTGTGTATTCTTGCCAGCGTCGGCTAAAAGCGCGAAAATCTGGCCCAAAAAGTGTGAATATCAACCAAGAGCAGAGAGATGGAGCTGTGAATTCCTCCACTGACACTATTAGACACATTTATGCTACAACATACAATATGCAGGTTTAATTAAGTGAGCGTATACACACACAAGTCGACTGTGTCATTACATTCACTTACTCCTAAAACAGATACACACTATTTTTGAACCGCACACCCTCGTCGTGGGCTCTGGCTCTCCCAATTAAGCGCAGGAATGTTGTGGAGCATCGGTGTCGGGGGATTCTGCTTTCTTCTCCTCTGTCAGGTCCCATCACAAAGGCTCCTCATTAGTGTCAACCTCAGCTGTGCCACCACTTGCTCCTTCCTCTTCCTCTCTCCCTCTCCCCTCCATCTTTTTGACTTTTCTCCCTCCACATCTCCATCTCCCCGTCTTCCCCCTGTTTGACTTGTTCACATTACATTTACTGCTGAACACCTTGCTCACCCCCCCCTGAAAGCTGCTGCTGATCACCACCACGCTGTCACCTCCCCGGCGTGTCCATCTCCATCGTCTCTCACTCTCACTCCCGTGAATCTCTATCGCTGGCGCTGGCGACAGAGAGAGCTACAGCGTCACACTGTGAAAGCGGTTTGTCACATCTGAAGCCCCCCCGACAACAAACAGGTGCGTTTTCAAAGCGCTTAATGACAATGAGCAGGGAGACGCTCCAACCGAAAACGCGGCAGCAAACTCGGTCTGATCATTAGACCGGCATGACACAAATACCCACTGACAAATTAAAAATGATTGATTCAGAGTCAAAGATGGAAACGGCACTGCGGGCTTGGAGCCAACCAGCGTTCTCCACTTCTGTCCACACACTTGTGCCTGTTTGAAGTGCACGTGTGTGCATGCCCGCACACGCACGCTGCACTGTCACGTCGATTGCTGTTGCCGGAGCGAGCGAGCGAGTGAGTACAGCGGGGCCTGTACCGAGGAGGAAGGGTGGGCTCTTGACATTGAACGCCTGACACTTTTAAAGAATGTGAGAAGATGGCAGATATCCGACGTGTGAACCTCGGAGCCATTGTCATGCATGTTACGCTCGGAGCTGTGTATTCTTGCCAGCGTCGGCTAAAAGCGCGAAAATCTGGCCCAAAAAGTGTGAATATCAACCAAGAGCAGAGAGATGGAGCTGTGAATTCCTCCACTGACACTATTAGACACATTTATGCTACAACATACAATATGCAGGTTTAATTAAGTGAGCGTATACACACACAAGTCGACTGTGTCATTACATTCACTTACTCCTAAAACAGATACACACTATTTTTGAACCGCACACCCTCGTCGTGGGCTCTGGCTCTCCCAATTAAGCGCAGGAATGTTGTGGAGCATCGGTGTCGGGGGATTCTGCTTTCTTCTCCTCTGTCAGGTCCCATCACAAAGGCTCCTCATTAGTGTCAACCTCAGCTGTGCCACCACTTGCTCCTTCCTCTTCCTCTCTCCCTCTCCCCTCCATCTTTTTGACTTTTCTCCCTCCACATCTCCATCTCCCCGTCTTCCCCCTGTTTGACTTGTTCACATTACATTTACTGCTGAACACCTTGCTCACCCCCCCCTGAAAGCTGCTGCTGATCACCACCACGCTGTCACCTCCCCGGCGTGTCCATCTCCATCGTCTCTCACTCTCACTCCCGTGAATCTCTATCGCTGGCGCTGGCGACAGAGAGAGCTACAGCGTCACACTGTGAAAGCGGTTTGTCACATCTGAAGCCCCCCCGACAACAAACAGGTGCGTTTTCAAAGCGCTTAATGACAATGAGCAGGGAGACGCTCCAACCGAAAACGCGGCAGCAAACTCGGTCTGATCATTAGACCGGCAGGAGCAGTGGAGGGGAGGTTGATTTGCGACTTGACATGAGGCATCATAGGCTCTACAATGATGTTAATGATCAACAGGCTACGAACACAGCAGTGGCAACAACATGTAAACAAGCCAACAGGGGAGTTGGCTTGGAAGCAACGAGTTCAGAGATCACTAGAAGCATGCAGAGGACGAGATGTGGAGGAAAGGCAGCGAGATAAAACAGACGATTGTTGTTTGTTTGTTGTTACGGTTTTTTCCCCCGAGCAAACACTCCCTCTACCCCTTTACCCCCTGCTGTTACACCCTGTCTTCTACCTCATCATTTCCTCACAACCCTTTCCCCTGTAGTCAGTCTACTTCTTATCTGCCTCTTCTCCCTTTGTGTGTGTGTCTGTGTGTGTGTTTGTGTGTGTCTCATTTCTCTCAGTAATTAAGAAATCGAGCTTTGATTTCTAAGGGAGGGTTACGGGTGCCGTATTGGGATGCAGTGGAGGATCCTCCTCTCGCCAAGTTTGACTCCCTAAATCCCAAGTCCTAGTCAAGAACCTATTCTCATTCTCTCTCTGTCTCTCTCTCTCTCTCTCCCTCTCTCTCTCTCTCTCTCTGTCTCTCTCTCTCTCTTTTGTTCAGAGATGAC